CAACAACAACAACACCAACAACGACAACAACAACAACAAACACCACAAATGCACAACGATCGGACAGTAGCAGCAACATCAACAACACCTTGGCAAACCCCGGATGTGTCAGGTTCAGGTCACGGTCGTGAGAGCAGGTTTTGGGTTAAGCTACACAGGCGGCTCAATGAAAGAGCACGGCACATCAGAAGTGGGCCGAGGGGGGCTTGTGGTTACGAGTATCAGTTCACAGGGCTCGCCAGCCTCGAATTGGGATCGAAGCAGCTGGGGCCTAAAGTTGCCCCACGCCCAGGATCACTTTCGTGCTGCTGGGCAAGCACCTGGAGGCCTGATCAAGCCCAGATCGAATCCAGAATCTTTTGAACCAAACCATCCTCCAGTCCCCCTAGCCCGGGCTTTGGAGCAGGCAGAAATGCCCTAGTCATGTCAGGGCTTGGGAGGGCTGTGCTCTGGCCTCCCATTGAACGGGTAGGCGGAAAGCAACCACTGGAAACCAAAGCTCACTGCGTGCGTCGTCCTCATGCGACTCCTCGCCATCCTTCGCATCACCGGCTGTGCCTCCCATGGAGGCATGGGCAAAGAACGGTGCCTCCAGCGCGCTCCAGCAGCTGCTGTCGTGCAGAGCTCAGGGCTGCTTCTGATAGCTGCAAGCAGCAAGCGGGACCCGAGCCAGCTGAGTGGACCTTGCGGGGGCCCCTCTTGGGACAGTTCAGCCTCCTGTGCGCGAAACAGGCCCGAAACACGCAGAGCCTGAGTTTCAAGAGCCTTCTGAGGCTGCACCCAAGCAAGGCGCACCGACTTCCAAAGGACAGCATGGAGGCCCCTTCCTGGGCTTCCCATGGCCATCGCCCCCGGAAGATTTGCGACGGTGCTGCTAGTGAAGATACCTGTAGGCCCAGGGATTCCGAGATGTGCTGGGATGACGATGGTGTGATTCTGTAAGGTCTGGTGACCGTGATCATGATGATTGTCGGAAAATACTGTCTGTCGTGTTGGGTTGAGAATGAGCTTGTAATGACTTGTATATCAAAGTTCAATCTTCTTGTTGCTCGTTGAGATTGTAGATGTTGCACTCATTTGAGAAATATAGTGCCGAGGTCCTGGCATTCGCAAGCATCAGGCACAGACCGTTGCAGCCAAATGCCCCCGTGGAGTCTGTCAATGCTAAAGGGGTAGTGGTCATGGGCACGGCTGGGTGGAGCTCTTTGGAACATACTGCTGTGTCCTGGAGCCGTTTCTAACACTAAACCTTGCCTGGTCCAGGCTGTGNNGCAAAAATCCAAGATGATCTTAAGTTTGTCAACCCTGGACGTGGCCCAGAAGAAGGTCGGAACCCGAAGCTCAAATCCACAACCAGAGAGGTCGAGGACCTTCCGGTCCAACTTTTGCACCTCGGAGACACCCTGCAGTGCTCGGGCAGCAGGTTCTCGTTTAGTAATGCTAATGTCTTACAACTTTGTTGAGTTTTCTGCGGGCATGACTTCTGCTGCTTAAGCCGAGTTTTGGCGTGAGCGGGTTTGGGAGTCACCCTTGCAGTGTTGTTTACTATGTTAGAGATGCTTCTGCTGCTGATGTTGATTGTGGTCATGATGGGGCTGATGACGGTCGTGATGGGTTCGGTAATGTGAATGACGGCACCTCAAATCCTGGCATATCCTGTTTAGACCGGGAGCGCACTACTCACCCAACGGGCGGAACGGAACTAATCGGCGAAGGTTCGGAATGTCGTGCTCTAGGCTGAACTCCGTCGGAGAGACCCACCACCAGCCAGTTCTGTGGTGTCGGCGGAGTTGCTGAAATAAAAAGCCCAGCATGAGAGACTTGCATGACCCCCGGCTAGCTAGTCAGTCCCATGCTGGGTGCCCGAAAACCAACCCTGAAAGCTCAAGCCTGAGGATTTACCCGGGAGAGACGGCGTGGACCCGAGCATCGGAGTTCGGAGGGGCTTTCAGGCTCGGGTGTTGCATCCCTGACGAGCTCTTTCCCGCTCCAGGGTCTTTAACTCTCATGATGAAGGTGAGGCGCATGAAGGCCGAGGGCTCTAAACATGTAGGCTCCGAGTTGGACTTTGCTTTGTGAAGTGTTGGAGTGCTGGCTGCTGGAATTGGTTGCTCGTAGAGCTACTTGGGGTGGAGCTGAGAAGATTGGGGCTGAAGGGGCGCTGAGGCCCGCAGGCTTCCCGCATCTTCGGGGTTCGGGTCCTTCAGAGGCAGCACAAGTCCATGCATAGGTGTCCTTCGCTCTTTTCCGTATTCTCAAGCATGCCAGGTACCATTGTCAGAACAAGCTCTGTGCTAGGTCTTCATTCACAGACTGAAATTGGATATACATATCCATGCATCATGTCTATGATCTGATACCTTGCTCTTCTTAGGCACCAGCAGACGGGATCATGACCGGCCTCGGCTACTCCGAGTTTGACGAGTCACTGCTCACAGGTTCCCTGGGGCCCGAAACCCGAGTGCCCCTGTGGAGGTGTCCTTCACAATTATTTTGGAGGGCTTGATAGTTTGATAGCGTGAGTTTAATGGGCATTTCCCGTTGACGGGGTGCTGGAAGGCAGAAGAACTGAGGCTCTTCATCGAAGGCCCTTGGCCCCCCGAGGCGGGGTCAACCTGAAACTTCTCGTGCAGAAGAAATGCCTTGTGGCACATGCCACCCCTTATAATTGAACTCCTCAAGGGTTGATGGCTTTTTGTTTGACGGATGCACGGCCGTCGTGTCGGTCGTGACGGGATGGCCTAGCTGTGCGGAACGATTACTGCCGCCCATGTTAGCCTGAGGCTTGAACGGATTCCTACTGCCATCTAATTGATCTACTGACATCAAGTGGCATCTTGACTCCAAAGCCCTTCAATATCTTCAATATCCTAATCCGTAAGCCTGCGGCCGTAAGCCCTCAGATCCCCCCACAATGGAAACGGCTCAGGGTTTTGCCAGTATACATAGTACATGTACCCAGTTTCACTGGCTCGCGTTTGAAGTCCACCGGAACCGGCACACGGTGTTACTATGAGAGGTAAAGCCCGTGGCCCGCCATGATTCGATACAGACACGTAGGCAAGCCAGACCGTTGCTGCAATGGCCTCGCAGTTGCGTCTTTTCGCGTTGCTTTACAATCTTGTCCTTGCTGCATGCGGTGTAGCACTGGCCTACTTATTTACCAGCGTGCATCGAGCTCCCCTGCCTCGTGATGAAATTGCAGCATTGCCAACCTTTGACCATGCATTGGGCAGACCCGTGCTCTGGCCACAGGTGCAAATTGAGGTGTCGGTAGAGGAAACCGATTTCAGTGCAGAGGTGATGCGCGCTTTTGTCGCCATGCTGTCAGAATCTTTACGCGGCAGAGCACATGTGAAGGTTCGTGATGATGATTCCATCCGCACGGGTACGCCAATGCAATGTTTGGCGGCCGATGTGAGGACATGCTTAGAATCTCTAGAGATGCAGGCTTGGCGGCGTTCGCCTGGTCTTGGCAGCACGTTTGAGCTGGTACTCATTAGTTCGAAAAGCGGGTCTTCCGTCATCCTGGATGCTGGCAAACGGGCTTTCGTGAGGTGGCAACAACAATCGATCTCTATGGAGAAAATGGTAAGCGCTGTATCGCATCACCTGGAGGCCAGCTGGTTGCGCCCAGAGGCGCTGAATGAAGGAGTGGCGCTCTTTGAGATCACTCCCGGCTATGTTTTCAGCTTCTTTCTCGTGGGCGACTGCCGAAGCCGAGTGTCCTGGGACTTCGAGGTACTGTCACCATTCCTGTCCCGTTTTCTTGAACGATTACAGCTGATTTTTGACATCGACCTCAACTCGCAGGTTGTTCAGTGTGGCTCCTTGGGCACTCCGCTTGAGCCAGCTGAACCAGTGCATGGGACAGTGGATGCAACCATGCTACAGGCAGATTTCATGCGAAGGACTGGCGAGTGGCCCGCAGACACACTTACTCGCGATGCTAGATGGCTGCCTCCATTGGTGCGCCTGGTTGCTTTCAAGCCTTCCGCTGCAGTGAAGTTGGCCGATGAACGAGGTCAGGTGCAACATTCCTTTGCTCTGCAAGGCTTCGGAGCAGTTGCAATAGCTTCTTGCGAGAACCAGACAGGTTCTGAAAGCTTCCATCACAGTTTGACTTCATGTGAAGCAGAGACGGTGACTTCTGGCTGGATCTCCAGCCTGCGGTCTTGGCTCTCATTACCGGCAAATGAATCTGTTGCTGAAGGCTCGCTGCAAGTTGACGCTGACAGAAACGGGGTGGCATTGCTTGCTGCAAGACCTCGGCTAGATGGGATTTCCGATTGGGAGTTCGAGATCCTGGCAAGAGCAGTGCATGCACAGTTTTTGAGAAGAACTGTGGAGACGCTGCGCAGTCTTGTCGAGTTGGTTGATTCCTTGCCAGATGTAGAGGTACGTGAGGACATCGCAGCCATGGCCTTCAAAGCGACCCAGAAAACCAAGGCATCAATCGAAGCCGCGGAGAGGGGTGACTTGCTGCCTTCGCTTGTCGAGTCTCGGCAAGCTCTGGTGCTGGCGCTGACCGCCATCCATGACGATTCCGTGGTGTCACAGCTGTACTTCTCGTGGGAATTCAAATATGCCGTGTATTTACCAATTTCGATGCCCATTCTGGTGCCCATTCTGACTTCGACTTGGCGTCTCATGCAATCCTGGATGAACTGCAGGAAACGTGCAAAATCCTGAGCTTCAGCCGCGCAGAACCGTGTGCAGCATTGATGTGAATTGTCGCATCGGTGCTGAGTCTAAGGGAGCCGTCTTGCTCGGACTTTCGGGAGCTTGAAGCATGACTGGGAAGTCAAGTGCGAAAACAAGAGAGCAGTGTCGCATGTGAGGTTGGCAAAGCATAGCCGAGCCTGACATGAAGTGAGGCTGCTGTGTATTGTTACTCTTAGCATGGTTGAAGAAAGATCGGGGGAGCATGTGAAGAGCTTCCTTCTTCTTCTTCTTCTCCTCCTCCTCCTCTCCTGTCTGCACTGTCCCGCTATGCTTTGCCCTGATGCTGCTCTCCTTGGACCCTTTTTTTCGCTTGCCTGTGCCTTTCACCCTTGTTGCGTACAAGTGATCTTGCATGCAGCGAACTGCCCTTCTTGTTGTACTTTGATGCCTTGCCTGGTTGAGTGCCTCAATGAGCTGAGCGATGAATGAAAAGCACGGATGATGAACTCACTGATGAGACAAGACATCCCGGCCACCTGGGTGGTTTGCAGGCCAGTCCCCCTCCCCCTCGAAGCCGATCCGAAAGTCTTGTTCTGGGCCAGGAGAGGCCAAGCCTCTGCGCAAGCGGGCCGGCGACATGGTCATCGGTGGCTCCAGGTGAGCTTCTATTCACGTCTAGGTAGACGACTGACGGTGTTGTTGGTTTTGAAGGGCCGCGAGGAGACTTGGTTTCTGTGGTCGGTTAAGCTTGATTGCACCCGGCAATCTCAGGTTTTCCCTCCTGCCTTCGCAGTAGACTTGAGCAAGCCTTCTCGTGCTGGTGCAGGTGCCTGAACGGCCGAGCGGAGATTCGAGTAGACGCTCGGCCGGCTTCCGACGGATGTAGCTTAGTTGGAGGTGCTGAGGCAAGGACTTGGCGTTCATGTCACAGCAGGCATTCGAAGGGTCTTCTTGCAGGCTTCCGGTGGAAGAAGTTTGTTGCAAAAGCGTAGAGGTTGCAGAGACAAAGGCCAAGACGGCGGAGATGATGCGTTAGCCCCAACGAATATGACAGGTTGCTCGTTGCTCCTGAACAACCTATCAGACTGTAAAGCCTTCCACTCTGGCTACCTCCGTTCCTGCAGGTGGACAGGGCCCCATACGTTGTAGCTTCGCATGCATCCTGGCATACTGTATATTCGGCCCAACCGGAAACTAGCAGGAACGTCTGGGGACCAAGACCCTGCTGAGCCAAATTACCGCTCTCGTCGAGCGTGCCCAGCTGCTCGGCTGAAGTTATGACGTGATGCAAAGCTTCGCGAACGAATATGTGTAATTACCCGTGCTGGGACTCGTGCTCACACAAGCTGGTGGTGATAGTAGTGGATGGAAGTCGCAGCAGCCACATCTGCGGCAGCAGCAGCGGCAGCAGCAGCAAGAGCACCAGCACGTGACAGCACCAGCACCAGCTACAGCAACACGGAAAACAGCTGCGGTGCAGCAGTAGCAGTGGATGTTGCGGCAGCCAAGGCTGAATCGCGCTCCGGTGCAGCATGTGGCAGATGCCGTGGCCCACCGCTTCGTGCCGGCAGTTGTCCGGGACCTGGAGAGCGTTGTGCCAGAAACCCAGGGTCAGAGTGCTTTTATGGAGATGAATAGCCAGACTAGCCGCAGTTTCATAAGCCCTGAGGGTTCCACTCCGAAAGTAGGCGACTCGCTAGGTTTAGGATCCGGCAGAAGGCATGGCAGAATAAGCCCAGAGGAAAAAGCACGAAGCGAAGAAGAAGCAGCGCAAATCAGAAGACATAGTTTTTGGGTCTAGGCTGTTGAGGTGTTCCGAGGAGTGTGCAAAGAGGCAACCGCGAGTGGCTGAGTTCTCTTCCGAGGTGGCGCTGAGTGTCCTGACGTGGGTCACGTGGTACGTGCTGGTCTACGTTGCAAAGGCACAAGGAGTCTGTCGGTGTTGCATGCTTTTGCCCAGTCTTTGGTTCGTCTGGAACGGAACATCACTGGAATTGTTCTAGCATGCCCATATGTAGCTATTATGCGGGAGGCTTTTGCACGGGCAGAGCAAGAGCAAGCGAACTAACTGTTTCCAAGATAAACCCTTTGCTTGGAATCCATGCTAGCCGGTGAAGAAAGCCGTCCGGGAGCAAACCCGGAATGTAATTAGGAATTATTTATTTTTTTCTAGCGTTCTATCGCTTTTTCTGGTTTTCCCATCGGTTTTTCTAGTTTTCTTTAGCTTTAGGCATTGTTTTTGCTTTTCTGACAAGTCTTCCTCACTATTGCTCTATTTTCCAAGCGCTGTTTCGTGTTGGTTTTCGTAGGTTTTGGTACGGTAAGCTTACTGTTGTCCCATGGACCAGGCGCCATAGACTTGTTTAGCTTTATCCAGCTTTTTCCAGTATTTCAGAGGTTTCCGTACTTCCTCAGGATTTGGACCATATGCTGTGATATTCCTTGCCTTTCCCGTACTGTTGAAAGAGCCTCACACATAGCATATACATAGGTGCATGTATGAGTTGTGGTCGCTTCGGCTTCCCTCCTGGAGAAACTCTGAGTTTCTGAACCACAACATCGATGCTTTAGGGCTTTCGGGTTTCTAGCATCCAGCCCTTTCAGACCGTAACACTCGCCGACATCACCCGGAATCGCGAAAGCTCGCAGCCGGAGCTGGACAAGGCAAGGGACGAAAAGGTTCGTTCGGATCGGATGCTCTTTTCACGGGAGTGCTTCTTCGATTTAGTGGTGGGCCAACGTGGGTCCTTGGAGATTGCGGTGTAGTGCTGCTGAGGCTGCCTTTCGGAGCATTGGCAGCGGAATTGTGCTCCTCCAGTTCTAAGCCCAGACACTCGAGAAAGCTAGAGTAGCAGGTCGGCTTCTGCGTAAGAGGGGGCAGAGGGCTCTGGCCCTCCAGTCCGGGAACAGCCGCAGCTCGAAAGGCGTTCTTCGTGCTGGAACACGGCCTCAACGTTTTACTGGTGGCCTGCCCCTGTGCCCTTGGATCCCTGGCTGCGGGGTGGAATGAGACAACACCGGAAGTTTGCGATTTCTTAAGAACTTACAGATGCGCAGCTTGTAAGTCTTTCAGCGTTTAAGGTTAGGAACTTTCTACGTAACACTACTACCGCGCTGCCTGGCATTTTTGAAATTTGAGCGGTCGGTGTGAAACTCCGAAATCAGAATCTTGAGATCAAACTTAGACTTAGAGGTCCCACTGGTGGCTGGTTACATGTTACAGCAGTAACCATTCAAGAAGCACCAGCTAGAGCTTTTGCAATATTCCTTGCCATTGCCGGTCCTACTTTAAATTCATTCGTTTTTGTTGCTGCTGTGCTACGGCGCTGCTGCTGCGGCTGTCGCGGCTGTCGTGTCGCCGTGGCTGTACAGACAGCGTTTCACCATACTGTACTCTTCTGGCTCCTCCCGTTGCCGTCTACAATTGCAAAACATCGTCCCTATCCTTTCTTTGGCTCCTATTTCTTTCTTGGATCCTTTCTATCTATAACTCCGAGTTGGCAGTATTATGTTCTTCCCACAGCCGCTGCTGCGTCATTCTTTTCAGATTGCCAGTGGCGAATGTTGCTTATGGTTGGGGGCGGAGGTTAAGGACAGGGCGAGAACCTCTTTAAGTCTTAAGTCCAGTTGTACTATAAGTCCAAAGCACCCTTGCTCTGTGGCTCCGTGAATCGATGACCCCAGGTCTTGCCACCCCCACGGCAGTCATGGCCGCGACTGGGGTGGCGGCGAAGTTTGGGATCTTAGCCGCCCGGTTGAAAACCGGATCTGCCATTATGGCATACTGCATACTTGTCCGTGTTTGATGTCTCTCAAGTGGAAGCAGGGGCCACGCCATATGCCTTGAGCTGGGTCCGAGAGCTCCCAAAACGTGTGGTAGTCCGACCCATGGCCATAGCAGGGATGTTGTGGCAAGCATCAACCCTTCGTCATTGTCGTACTGGATGAGAACTCACAATAAGAATAGGTCCTTGCTTCGTTGATCGCACCCGAGCCGTCTTGAGGCGACAATGAGATCATCCACCATGATGAAGACAGGGTGAATATAAAAAGGATCCTTCGTAAACATAGCCCTATCCTTCAGGATGTGAGTTGGGGCTGGGACAAGTATCCAGAGAGAAGGATCGGATTGCAGAGTGTCTGTCTCAAACCGCACTACACTCATGCGTGATAGGGGGACAGCATATGGATCCTTTCTTGTCTACTCGCTCTCCGTCTTTGTCTGTGTCTTGCTGAGGCAGGCTTGGCACACTATCCGAAACTCCTAGATGTTACCATGATAAGGACATATAAGGACGCCATGTGGTTTACTATAGATCCCTATCCTGGTCGCTTAACCTAGGTTCCTCAACAAGAGCCCAAAGACTCTGCATTCTGGACCGCCTCAGCCGCAAGCTTCTCAAGGTTCGCTCCGGAGCGGTCCCTCTGGAACTGGGCTCCAAGATTCAGCGCATGGTGCTGGACTGCCGGGGTCTTGCTTTAGTGTTCAAGCTTAAGCCTTTTCCGCAGCATTTCCGCTTGTCAGAAGAAATTTTAGGGGTCAGCATCCTCAGCGAGGTTTCCCTGTCGGCTATGGAGGAAGAAGTTGGACTTGCCGCTCTGACATTTATCTCACCCCGGCCCAAACCAGCCCAAAGAAGGGTACCGGCGAGGGATTTGAAGTTACCTAGACATGCACCTCGCCTGTCCTCTATTTTCTGGGTGACGACCAGGCTGGTCAAGCAGATCCGTTCCCACACCCTGTGGTAGACTTGATGCAGACTTTGCAGTGGTCATTGCAGCTTCATGGATGTCGTGTCCAAGTTTCACATCGGAGTGCCACAGCATGACGACGGCTGTTGGCAAATATCAACGATGGTAGTGGAGCAAGGGTTGCAGAAGACCCTTGTTCCGGCAACGCCTCGGAACCTCACACGTCTTGCTAGATGCAGAGGATTGAGCAGACTGCAAGCTCGGCTGGGCCCAACCAATGTGCCCGGAGGACAAGACGGGCACACTGACGACGGGCAAACCGAAGGCGGCTGCCTCGGCAATGCTCTGCCCATGGACTCAAGAGGACTCCGGGTTTGAAGCGCAGCGTAGCATGTCTGAAGCAGAATACGGATGGAGCCAGCATGGCCAGCTAAGGCCGGTTTCTCTTAACTTGGAAAACTTATCCGCTCATGCGAAGGTGACTTGCCCAGCACTTCATGCCAAGAGGTCGCGACCGACCTGAGTGACCCAAAGCCTGGGAGTGGGGCCCCAAACCCAAAACTCGAACAAACATCCTCAGGAGCAGAGCTGGGAGAGACTTCTGAGCAGCTTCCGAGAAGCCGAGGAGCTCTCTTCCCGCCGCAAGGCTCCGCAGTCGGTTGAGGGTACCCTTAAGAGAGCCCTTAGGGGTACTGTAGGGTTCTATAAATAGGGTTCCCTTCGGGGAAGAAGAGCAGAATTTTTAATTCTTGGTTGAACTTGATTGCAGCATTCTAGCCAATCTCCACTGGATCTCAGAATCTGGAGTCAAGTGATTCGCATATTACAAGGAGCAAAGCGCATGTGAGACAGTGAGTCGCGGCAGGCGATACCCGTGATACTTCGATAGTGGCTCTGCAATTTTTTTTGATCCTCGACCTCTCAATCATTCCGTGCTTGAAGTGCAGGCTGTCGGGACTCGTGTAAGTAAGCACTCTCCCGATGCGAGACTAGCAGAGCGCCTTGAGGTGGCCTTTGCTGTGGACATGACGACTACGTGGGTGAGCGCTGGCACCGACGCTTCGAATGAATGGCAGCTCTGTGGCCTTGACGGCCTCCGTACTGAAAGAGAACAGAAAGGTCTTGGCAAGGCAGGTAGTGCCCAAACGTTGACACCAGGTGCTTGTCTTGCGTTCTTCAGGTCAGGAAAGGTTTGCATGGTAAACAAACCCTAAATAAGCCCCGAAGCTACGAAGCCCAGAAGCTCAGGATGCGGAGGCCAAGCCGAAGCGCAGCCCTCAGCCCAAAAACGCAGCGACAGCTTTGGGAACCGCCGTCTTATCCGCCGTAGACCTCGGGGTTCTGGTATCTTGGCCTCTCCAGGCGGATCTTGGGATTTGCTGTTGGGGCCTTAATAATTAGAATAGGGTTTTGGGGTCATGCGGACAGATGTCAGAAGCGAGTACAGCTTAAGATGGCTTGTGCATCCTGGGAAGGCCTAGCTGAGCTTTGAGCTAGCCTGGGAACTGAGCTTCGCAATGATTAGATCAAAGCGTCAGAAAGCGGAAGCTACCTAAGTTTGGCAACGATCTCATCAAGACAAACAAGCATGGAGTCGTATTGCGCCGACCACGTATTCAACAACTGTACATCGAAGTCGCGCGGGCAAGGACATCTACGCGTGAGGTTGCGCGGCTCAGTAGAAAAGTTAAGAAGCTTTCCGCAACTCGCACAAGGCTCAAAAGAGGACCATGCTGGCTCAAGTACGTGTGTGCGAAAGTCATTTTCAAGCAATTGATTTTGGTGGTATCTCCAAGTGTATCCTTAAATTTTGCTGTGCGATTCCTAGCCGCCTTGAATCTTTTCAAGGGCCCAGGCCTGGGTGGTAAGGCATTTCGAATTTCAAGTGAAGATAAAGATTTCCATTTTTCAAGTGAAAGCTGTGTGACGCACGTCACCTGTGTGGCAACACAGTTGGTGGCCACATCCTGCTGTTTTTGAAGGACCTGTTGGATCCAGGGAAAAGGCATATCCTTGTTGCGGAATCTAGGAATTTGCCATTTTTCGGATAAGGGGGTGTTCATAAGAAGCTTGCAATCTTGACCAACAGACTCGCAGAACGAATCGGTAGTGATTCGAACGATCTGTGCATTTACGTTGTCAGCTAAGCGCGCTTCAACGCGTAGTGCCTGCAACTTCGTGTTAGCCTGCGTTAGATCCCATTTAGGAATGAAGAAGAGACCGTCGGGAAAAGCAGTTTCATTAGGAAAAGATTCAAGCCATTTAGCTTGATTTTGGTTAGAAAAATCAAGACTGGTCAAATCAGAATTTTGATGCTGTGTTTGGAACATAAACGACGAGAGCACCCGCAGTTTGTACGCAGCCATGCCTGCAAACTGGCATTGCT